GGGACCAGAAGCCCCAGAAACAACAGGGCCTCACGGGCCCCGAGAAGTGAAACTCCAAAGCATCATGCTCGCGAAAATGTTAGGCCTCCCGAGAGAGTAACCAGTCCAAAAATAGATTGATAAGTTGCGATTTAACTACGAGATTGAGTAAATTACTTGAATTTACAACAAACATAAAACCAAAGTGGTTACAGCAAAACATGGCGAAACAAAGCCGAAACAAATTTCTAAAAAGCGATGGTACCTTCAACAGCTGACAACAGCAACAGAGAAACAAGATGAGCAAAGCGGTAAAAGATGCAAGGGTGTCGGGCGTGGTAATAAACGGGATGGTAAAAATATCCTTATAAGCCAAGCATCTCACGCAGCCGATGTCCACCAACGGGCTCGATTAGAATGTCATAATTTTCATCTGAAGTGAGAATGCGAAGGGTGGAGGTCTACAGGTTTATGTATCGTTCGGGTTCTACCTATCGTTTATGTTAGTTTACAAGTAAAATTGCTTGAAAATTGGCAGGCTTTTTATCGGTTCAGGTCCAGAATCGGAGAATAGATTAAATCAATATGTTCATGATGCGTCACGGTTTTGATATTTCTAATCAAAGTAATGCAATAAACACAAATATTTTGGTTGGATATCGGTCGCAATAAACGGCAGTATGCACTCCTGTGTAGGTAGCATGGTCCAACCCGCCCCGGTTTAGGTCACAGGGCGTCCAGGCGAAAAGTCGAATGAAAAAAGTCGAGTGGAAAAAGTCGGAAAAAACGAAGGAAAAAGTTGGCAGGGCTAACAGCCGGTCCGGACACAAGCCGAATGTTAAAGGCCAACAGGAATGAAAATCGAATCGGAGAGAGTAGAAAGTGATCAAAGTTGAAAGAGATAAAAGATGGCAAAACACTTCACCAGTGGGAGTCAAAACACCAATCGGAGCTTGAACCAGGGCCTGGTGTTCGTAAAAGAGCTAGTAGGAACTGGGAGATCAGAGACGGGTGTTTGTTGAAGACCGTTGGGAGCCGGGAAGTAGTTTGTAGTGTTTGGAAAGAAACCAATGGGAACCAGCAACCCACACTTTTGCTTGCAAAAGAACCTATGAAAGCCAGGAACCAGGGTGCTGTGTTTGCAAAACAACCAGTCGGATCCAGAAACCAGAAAATGGGTTTGTGAAATAACTAGCCGGCACCAAGAATCCCACATGTCGCTTTCGGAGAGGGAAAGCGGGACCTAAGCACCAGGACTACCTGTCTATCAAGCACAGCCAGGACTAACGAAGAAACGGGACTCTCAGCGGACGCCGCAGCTGGCGCCGCCTCATTCCGCGGACGGCTGTACTCCTCGCGACCGCGCCAGAAGATGGCTAGATAGGGAGCTGTCATGTCCATAGATGGAAACTGGCAGGGTGCCCACAGCAGATGGGTCACGTGATAGCCTCGGAATGCGTGTCTTATAATTGGGAGTGAGGTCCGCGACGCTGTCCTCCTGTCAGAAGCGTTGGCTGAGTGACCGCTAGTGTGTCCAAATTAGAGGACCCAGGGGTGTGGGGTGGTATAACCACCTGAATCTCGGGGGGGGGGGGGGGAGTCATTAACATTCCCTTTCACACCAGGCGACAATTCATTAAGACTCTCTGGTCTTTATTCCTCTGGGCCACCTGCTTGTTTAAATATCGACACTCATCCACGTCAAATTTTGGCTGTTAATTGTTTTTCAGTGTGGTATTCATCCACGTGGACTTTCATTCCTTTGACACTTTGTAAGATAGATATTACAGAGTGTCTTGTATTCTATATCGGTTTCGGCACAGCTGACACTGGCTGTTTTCATTTAACTATAGGCACACGAATAAGTCGAACAGTTCTGCAACGCGTCATTAGTAATGGCAGTAAATTCTCAAGTGCAAGAATGTTGTAATAACTTGTGTAAATTTTGTGCTTCTGGGTGTTGCAGCATTGTAGCGAAGTACGCAACCAAATGATAGCGTCAGCTGGAAAGACAGCCTCGCGCCCTTTGATGCTTTGATGCTTTGATGCTTTGATGCCTCAGTTATGCCTGTTTCTCTTTTTGTTTGTTTGCTGGATTGTTGGGTGGTTAGGCAGCATTTGCTTGTTTTGCTCATTATTCGGTAAATGCATTTTGCTCAAACCAGCCCAAATTGGCCTGAGCAAATGTTTCCAATAACTCGATGGCTAGTTCGCCGTAAAGTACACGGCGATTATAGTCGTTTTATCAATACTGATGAGCGTTTGCTTTTCCCATGTTATTACTAACGAAGCTACGTAGACGCGCAGAACCATGCGGTCCGAACAATACGTGTTTTGTTATGTTGCAGCGCTCACCCGTCGTGGTTAAAAAATGTACCTGTCGGATTCGTTTTGATGGTGCGACCGGGAAGCAGAAAAGGATTGACACGGTTGTGATGTCTGACGGATGTTGCGACTTAAACGAACACAAGTCCCGCTCAACGAGTGACCAGAATGCTTTTCGTTTTTCCTCCTAAATTCAAGTTATTTTTCCCACTTGACTTTCACCATTGCGTCATGGAAGTGGAACTAACCACAGCTACCTGTATTCAGCAGTAGGTACGATCTCTAGTGTTACCACACTGTAACGGCTCGCCACTTTTACCAAAGGTCATCATTGCTGAAGGCATCACTCGTTACTAACACCCGAAAGGTAGTATAAGGCACGATCACAAAAACAGCGAGGTGATGGTGATGATGAGTATGGGGGGTCGCCGACTATTTTGGTCATAAGGCGCAATACGACAGAGGAGCACCGTGTACTGCCTAAACCAATCGAGGCGTTCAACACACTGTAATTCATCCCGTATGAGGGAATGGCTGCAATCGTCTGAAATTGCGCCGTATGTGTATGAAAGAAATGGCACACAAAAGTAACACAACACGCCCGTTATTAACAGATTTACCTGCAGTGATTTTGATTATTTGCGAGGCGCTGTGTACAAACGTGGATGCATCTGAATCAGAATTTTCTACAGTCGATGTAAAATATCACCAGATTATAAGACCGGGGCGCACAAAACTAAGCGCAGAAAAGTGAAACTGAAATGGCATGCAACGAAATCTGAACTATGTGGAACTTGCCTGCGAGTCAATGTTGGATTCGTATGACGTCACGTATTCGGGGCTAATGTGCTGTTATCACTTCTGCATCGCTTACATGAACAAGCGCGAGCCTTGCAAAAGTATCTAAATGCAGATTACCTGTTAGGCTTGATTGGCATACTTGGGCACTGGGCTATACGGACAGGCATATAGATTTCCTTAGCATGCAATCGGAGCTTAACACCACCCACGGAAAGCATTGCGAACAAATTGTCACAGGCAACACCAGTATCATGAAGGCGAGGCTTTATCATGGGCAAATCGCTGGCAGATGTCATTGTCACGTTAGTGATAACAGCCATAGAAAGATGTTTTGTCAGCAACCTGCGAGGAAAGTGGCGTTATTTCCATTTTATTTGTCAAGAATAGTTTTTTCATCCGTTCGTCCTATACCCTGCAGCACGGCACGCACAGCTTCCTAGCCTTGAATGAGTTCAACAGTAGTTCCGGCAAAGTACCTGACTCACGATCTTAGCCTGTAGCCACAATTACAATACTCAATGTGCAAAAAAAAAAATGGCATTGGGTGTTCACCGGGTTATTTAGAGCAAACATCATACTAACCACGTTGATCAAAACAACGAGCGGGTTGTGACACCTCACCCGTATTCCGTCTGCTCGCGCAGCACATGATGCACATCGCACAGCACATTGAAAATATTGTTTTGGGCAACACGGGCAATAGCAATGTCTCCGCCACCTGTTGCGCTTGAAGAACTCACGAACTCGTGGAGTGGTGACATCTTGTCGGAAAGGTTCTAGCGTAACGTCCCTACTTCTTGTTGCTGATGCACGATATATAACAGTTCACCAATGGGTGCCAGATTCAAATGCCTTTTTCATTCGCTCATCACATTGTCCTCGAATCCAACTGTAAACAGTAGGCTCTACAAGGTTTAACGCATCCATGGGTACCACTCTGATCCATTGTCGTCTTCGTGCTTTCGGATGTGCCGCTGTGATAGATTTATACGCCTCGCACAAGCGATGTCAGCCTCCAGCATGCAAGCCTGCCCACGTCCGATATCGTGTTGGACTTCAACGCCCTCTATCCACGAGTGCTGAGAAAGTGAGCAGTCTTTGTCTTTGTCTTTGTCAGTCTTTGAGCTGTATCAGTTACTAAACAGGCTTGACCTAGCTCGGCTCGGGTCGCGTTGGACATTACGCACCGGAACTAAGGTAAGTCTCCCTATCTTCAAGCCCCAAGCTTTGCACCTCGATTGTGAATATCTGTCCGAGCACGACGATCTGTGCATCTCGATTCAGAGCACGGTACGAGGAGAAGGCTTTGTCCGACGTGAATATGAGCGAGGCCATAACAAAATAGATTCAGGCACCTTCGGCAGTCGATTCCAAGAAGTCTGTATTCTGAGTTGGCAGTTCTTATTGCGACAGTCATCAACCTTCAAATGCCAGGAGGTAATGGTTAAACAATGTTGTCAATCTAACATGACCTACGTCGAAAAACCAGACATTGAATGCTGTGCTAGCGGCCACGAGTGAGCAAGGTCAAGCAAGAACAAAAAAGGCATTGAAAAACCGAGACACGCTATTGCAGAGAATGCAGTGAGAACCCCGACTGAGCAAAGCGTCCGGCGGATCGGCGCGCGCCACCTTGAGAGAGAACGAGATGAGAACGTAAGATTAGCGGGTCCAGCGAGCGGGCGGGCTCCTCTTGCGTCAGTGGTGAGGGCCCGGGCAGACTCTGCCACCAGTCCGAGCCGCCGCCGCCAGAGGGAGGGGACGCGTCGAGCGGCGGCACCCGCCGGGGCGACGGACACGCGAGCTGAGCTGAGTAGCTGCACCCAGGCGCTGGTGCGAGAAGCTGGGCTGCGGTGTCGACCTGCGGAGCTGGTGTGTGGTGCTGACCTGAGGCATTGGCCGGTGGTGCTGAGCTGAGGAGCTGCACCCAGGCGCTGGTGCGAGGATCTGGGCCGCGGTGTCGACCTGCGGAGCTGGTGTGTGGTGCTGACCTGAGGCGTTGACCGGTGGTGCTGAGCTGAGGCGGTGACACGGGGAGACGATCTTCGGTGCTGGCTGGGGTGCTGACCTGAATACCTGGCATGCAGTGCTGACCTGTGGAGCTGACCCGATCCACACCATGCTGGCGACGCTTCTGGTGCTGTTGGTCGCGCTCTGCGCATCAGGTGAGTGTACCCGCCTGTGCTCAGGCTCTTGTGTAGTTACGGTCTATGTAATGTCAATGTCTTTCAGACGAGAGTCCCTCCGAGTTCCCAGTGCGTACACCTGCGTCTCATAAAATCTGATGTATAACATCCAATAAATGCTAGTATAAATTGGCACCCACGGTGCCCTTTGGCACGCAGGTTTTCAGGGATCTGTTCAGCTGGGATGATGGTGCATGCGGTTTTTAGAAGTCTCGTAGACATAAGCGGGATGTTACATCAAATCGAGGATATTTTCAAAGCGTGTCCAATGTACAGTCAGAACAGTCGCAAATGACAGAGACCAGAGGATGTGCTGCGCACCTTTGAGAGGGAGTTTTGAAAGCATCTTCAAGAGTGGGAGGAAGATGCGAACAAGAAATGACTGCATGGTGGGCGTCCCTTGGGGTTAACCTCGTGTTTCATTCGCTAGGCTGCGCCGTCAGATTTTTTACAGACTTTATCCAAACCTTTTGAACGGATGGATTTCTGGGCTCAGAGCTCACGCTAAGCAGAGCTTGCTGTGTGACCCGTGACCCCTGCAACCCGATCGTTGCAATGGCCGGTCATTGGCAGAATTTGGTGATGAAAGTTTAAAGAGCCGGAATGCTCGGCAGGGTTCGTTCTGCCCTTTGATGCCGCCGGACTTTTGGAGTTGCCGCTGCCACCTGCCACTGGCCATACTTGTCAAGGGCAAGGGCACGCGATCGGAAAGGTGATCCCTTGCATTCTGGTACCACCAGCCTTCGTTTTAGCGCGGCACAACCCCGACCAGGTCAGCACCTTGGGGAGGAATGTGCATGCTATAGGTGCAGTGTTTTGTTTGGGAAAACCGGTGCTGCCCTTGTGGTCTCGGTACCAGCCTGGCAATGTATGTGGAACCGGTGCTCTCATCGGTTTTCACTTATTTCGGTAAAGACAAAAACTCTCACAGCACCGGCAAAGCATTGGGAATTGTCAGTTCGAGTACTGTTCATAGTTGTTCAGCAAAAGTGGCGACTCGTACGTGAGCAATGCAAATGATTCATACGTCGTTATAAATGCTAGTACATCAGCAAAACTGGTGACCAGTACGTTGTCACAAACGCAAGTGCGTCAGCAATATCAGGGTCTAGTTTGTCTGCACTAATACTAGTATGCCGGCACAAATACTAGCACGTCGACACAAATACTAGTGCGTCAGCAACGCTGGTGGCTAGTGCCACAAACACAGAAGACAACTAAAATGTTATCACAAAAGCCGGTACATCAACACAAACACTAGTAACTGGTACGCTATCTACCTTAACACAAATATTAGTGCGTCAGCAATGCCACGTACTAGTTCGTCAGCACAAACGCTGGTTACTTGTTCGTCAGCACAAATACTAGTTCTTCAGCACAAACACTAGTACGTCAGCATTACTAGCGACTCATCCAAACACCAGTCCATCAGCCGCAGTCGACGCTCGGCAGCTGACGCCTCCCCGTCAGCCCCAGCCAGCAGCAGGTGAGCTGCGGTGGCCCGACCCGCGCGCCAGCCCCGCTGGCCGGCCGGGCCGTGCCACCACCCCGGGACCGGTCCGCCGCGCTGCGACCGCGTCATGTGATACGCCGCAGGGCCGCCCGCGGTGACGCGCCGACCGGAGCGGCGTCGTTGGCCCGGTGAAGCGGAGCAGCGGAGGGCTTCGGGAACGTGATCGCAGCGCCGCGGCCGTGACTGCAGCGAATCGAACTTCGGATGGCCGGAGGCGTCGCCAGGGCTGACGGCGCTAGAGGTGTCGTCAGGGCTGACGGCGCTAGGGGTGTCGTCAGGGCTGGCGGCGCTAGAGGTGTCGTCAGGGCTGAAGACGCTAGAGGTGTCGTCAGGGCTGACGGCGCTAGAGGCTGACGGCGCTAGAGGTGTCGTCAGGGCTGACGGCGCTAGAGGTGTCGTCAGGGCTGACGGCGCTAGAGGTGTCGTCAGGGCTGATGACGCTAGAGGTGTCGTCAGGGTTGACGGCGCTAGAGGTGGGCGCCAGAGGCGTCGTGCGCAGGCTGATGACGAGTCGCGCGGTGGGCGCGGCAGGTGATCCCAGCTGTTGAATGGAAGTTTATCCTAACGTTTGTGGCGCTGCGTGGAAAGAATCGAGTTGAACTTCCCTCCGACCTCTTCCCTTCGCAATCAGCCACGCTTTGCTTGGTTGTGTGATGTAGCCCGTGATCGCGGCTGTTGGAGAGTGGGTTTGGGAGAGCTGGGGGGAGGGGGGGGGGGCGGGGGCGGTGACAGCGAGCAGTGTCCGGATTATATTTTCAGAATGGACAATTTTCTCATTTCCTCATAAAAGCCATGCTGTTTCCGCAGTGTGGCCTCCGCTGCTGATCAGTCTCCGGTTCCAAAGTGCATAGAACTAAGCTGTGGGAGAATTCCGAAACAACAAATAAAACTAGTTTTCTTCAACACTTACCTTTAGGTCAATCCCAGCTCCAAACTCAAGTTCACGTACAGCTTTGTGCTCTCGCAATGACCCGATCGCCATTTACCTTCCGACCCCCCGCCCAGCGCAGCTCTGTCCACCCCGTTTTGTCCAGTGTTCACTCTGTCCACCCCGCTCTGTCCATAGCCTCCATACTTTCCACAGTGTCCGCTCTGTCCACCCCGCTCTGTCCACGGTGTCCACTCTGTCCACACCGCCCTGTCCATAGTGTCCACTCTGTCCACAGTGTCCGCTCTGTCCACCCCTCTCTGTCCACAGTGTCCGCTCTGTCCACGCCGCCCTGTTCATAGTGTCCACTCTGTCCAGTGTCCGCTCTGTCCACCCCACTCTACCCACAGTGTCCGCTATGTCCCCCCCCCCCCCCCCCAGTTCTGTCCCCAGTTCTCACTGCCCACCCCGCTCTGTCCACAGTGTCCATTCTATCCCCCCGCCCTGTCCACAATATCCACCCTGTCTACCTCGTCCTGTCCACAGTGTCCACCCTGTCTACCTCGCCCTGTCGACAGTGTCCACTCTGTCCACCGCGCTCGGTCCACAGCATCCACTCTGCCCACCCGCTGTGTGTATGTCGCAAAACTCCCGAACCCGTCGCAATTTGCATAGCGACTTCGGGACCGGGCCCTACCGGTCCAGATCGGCCCCGCCCATGTCCCCAACAAACTCCGCGCGCCCTTGCTGCGCGGACGGGCGTCTGCTAGCACAACTGCACATTGACCGTCAGGTGCTGACCACATCCTGCATTGTAGCGGCCGCGTGGCGTCCCGTGTCAGCACGGGGTCGTCTGCTTTTTGCCGTGGCCACACCTGTTTGGCGGCATGTGCTAAGGCGGCCACCGCAATGAGCACCGCGCCTCTTATTTGATCGGGTAAGAGGCAGCATGCTGAGGAAGGATGGCACAGGCAAATATCCCAAGAAATAAAGGCAGGCTTCTGACAGGCTTCCTCCTTTTGCGCATGCTTATGTTTGAGGGGTGACCCATAGCCACAATGGCTATGGCAACAGTGGCCTCGGGTCAATGGGCACATAAGTGAATGCCGATGCTTGCGACGCTGATAACGGAGTGATATAAAAAACAGTTACTGTCGCTCTCACGTAAATTGCACATCGTGTCACATCAATACCACCAGGCCAGGGGCCACCGTCCACTGCCTCGTGTGGGTTGGGAACGCCTGTGTCTCTGTGCCAAAGTTCAGTCGGTAGACGGCTGTACAGCGCGAGCGCTCCCGAGCAGTAGCGCCTTTCACCGGCCTCAGTTTGGGACCGTGGGACGCGCAGCAGCCCGTCATGCCTGGCACCACGCTCGTATAGTCCTCCGTTCATACAGCGCGGGTACGCCTACTAAAGAGTCGGGCTCCCCGCTTCCGATCACCTTGCAGCGTCTCAAGGATTATGAAAAAATCAGCGGGCAACCAACTAAGTTTCTCCTGGGAATCAAAGACGTGGTCGAACTTTGTACAGCCGATAAAGCCCTTGCCCCGACATCGCAGATATGGCGTCTCGCACAAGCGCTGGAGCCGCGCTGCCGACACTCCCCACTGAGCTCGCCCCTGGCAGCAGGTTATGCAAATATCGCCGGCACGCTCCGTTGAAGCACAATAGCGCCGCCGTCTGCAGGACGACACCCGACCCTGCCGATCCCGATCGGCGCTGGCGGAGAGCTGGCGGGGAGGAGGGGGGGGGGGGGAAGGGGGCTCAGAGGTGCGCCCCGGTCCCGACGGACGAGCTGAGAGCCAGTCAGCCAGCCGTCTCTCGGGCGCCAGCTCAGCCAGGCGACAGAATCTTAAGTGAGGCAGGGGGGCGGGTGGATTCCCTGACTGCGGTGTTTTGGTTTGGCAAACCTCAGCGTCGTTGGATTGCGAATTTTCAAGCATTGATCGAGATTTCAAGATAAATTCATAGGACTAATAAGTGCAGCGAGCGTAGAGCATAGCCAATTATTGACGACTCATTGCATAACACGCATGCGAGTGTCCGATTAACAACTCGGAGCACTATCCAAATATTTGTGAACACGACTTTCAACCTGGTCAATATCAAAGGTGCTTAGCACGTGCTGGACCCCCAAAATATAAAATATACGTAAAATGTAGGTGAAAGCTTCTTTTGACATGCTGTCTAAACAGCAACAATGGTTTCTTGGCGTATGGAGCTTTCCCCAGCGCCTGTAGGATTTTCTTCGGGTTGGCTGCCGGCTAACGAGCCTCCGGGCCACAGGCGGCTCGTTAAACTTTTCCGCTTTCGAGACATTTCTTGATTTTAAAATATTCTGGCCACCGACGGTCCGTGCTGGGAAGGTCAGCCCAAGGTGGCGGTGTGCTAAGCTGCACGTCACGTTTACCTCGCTCTGCATCTCCGCACATATGAAATGAGCAGACTCCCAGACACAAAAGACCTGGCCTGCGGATGGGCAGACATGCTTCTTTTCCTTCCATGCTGATTCCATGATGAAAGCCATGTTGTGTGCATGCCAAGTGGATAACGGTTGTGTGTACAACGGTATACATGCATCCTTTCTCACCTTGTTTCACCATCTTGTTTCTGTTTTTTAAAGATTGCCTTGAGACATAAATTTACATCATTTTTGGGCATACCTGACCCAGCTAGAGATCCTCGATTTTCACCGTGACGAACAATATTTCGCAAAAAATCGCCGTGGACAGAGCAGAGGGCATTGCGATACAGCTGTACATTAGCTAGAGAACACGGCCTAACATAACATCTGGGTGAATTCAGGCGTCGAGCCTCGTGTGCCCGCACCGACGTCATATCCTTCCGACGGCCAGTCGTTTGTGCCCGTCCACCGATGTCACACCCTTCCGACGGCGGGCCACGCTCCGAGCCGTGCTCGGTCCTCGCCACGTGACTTGCAGTCCGAGGAGCGTCGACTCCCGACCTCCAAGGTTCTCGCTCCCATCGCTCACGCGTACCGACCTTCGCATTCCCAGCACGTGGCGGAGTGGCTGGCTGGCCGGCCTGCACACCGGCAGCGTCGATGGCGGAGAGCGGAGAGCGGAGACTGTCGATGGCGGAGAGCGGAGAGCGGAGACTGTCGACGGTTTAGAGCGGAGAGCGGAGACCCTCGATGGCAGAGAGCGGAGAGCGAAGCCTGTCGATGATGAGAGAGAAGAGCGAAAACTGTCCATGACGGAGAGAGGAGAGCGGAGACTGTCGATGGTGGAGAGCAGGGAGCGGAGAATGTCGATGGCAGAGAGCGGAGAGCGAGAGACTATCGATGATGAGAGGGAAGAGCGAAAACTCTTCATGACGGAGAGGAGGAGCGGAGACTGTCGATGGTGGACAGCGGAGAGCGGAGAATGTCGATGGCGGGGAGAGGAGCGTGGAGAGAGCCGGAAAACATAGACTGTCGATGACGGAGAGAGAAGATCAAAAACCGTCCATGACGGAGGGAGGAGAGCGAAGAGCGCAGACGGAGAGAGGAGACTGTCGATGGCGAAGAGCAGAGGCGGAGAATGTCGATGGCGGAGAGCAGAGAGCGGAGCCCGAGAGCGGAGGCTGTCGATGGCGGAGAGCAGAGAGCGGAGACTGTCGATGGCGGAGAGCAGAGAGCGGAGCCCGAGAGAGGAGACTGTCGATGGCGGAGAGCAGAGAGCAGAGATTGTCGATGGCGGAGAGCAGAGAGCGGAGCCCGAGAGCGGAGACTGCCGATGGCGGAGAGCAGAGAGCGGAGCCCGAGAGCGGAGACTGTCGATGGCGGAGAGCAGAGAGCGGAGACTGCCGATGGCGGAGAGCGGAGAGCGGAGCCGGAGAGCGGAGACTGCCGATGGCGGAGAGCAGAGAGCGGAGACTGCCGATGGCGGAAAGCAGAGAGCGGAGACTGCCGATGGCGGAGAAGGGAACCGGCCGCGGCGAGTGCCGTTTTAAGTCCTTCGAAAATAACAGGAGACTAAGGTGGCGGAGATTGAGCCGGCGCCTTAACACCGTCAGAAAACGTGACATTTGAAGGTGGTGGGGTGTGTACAGCAAACATACAGTTCTGCACAAACGATTCTTCATTCGTATTTGCTTCCAGACAGAAGCAATATGAGACATTTAGTTTGTTCTCTGGTGTAACGGGTAAAAGGGCTGTGCTATCTTTGTATGTTCTGAAATTAATCCGGGATTATGGCATTGATCTTAGATGTATGATCGGTGACAATTATATGTTGAAAGCAGAGACCAAAGGGATGAGGGCGACGGGAACATATATACAATAGAAAAGACAACACTTAGACAGATAGGACAACAGAAGGGAGGGAGGCCAAGACGAACAGTAGCAAATGGCAAATGTCATGTACTACCTGCAAGCACATGACACTGCAGCAGGCTTTTGACCCAGGAACAATGGACCCTGTTTTTTCTTATAGGTTCTATAAGGACCAACCGATCGATCTCCGCGGCGTATTCATAGCCACTCCTTGGCCACGTGATGGTTCTAGGCGGTGCACTGTTCTGATGAAACAACCGCTTCTTCCTGTGGATGTTTCCCTTAGTTTTACAGCAGTCTATGCTTTGTTCAGTGTCTCAGTGTGACGGACTTAGTTGATTTCGCGCCAGATGCACCATTACTCAAAAGTGCCTGCCGCGGGTGTACTGCGAATCAACGTGCTAAGAACCCACTACCAAAGCTAGGTTTGTTAAAAATCTGACCCGCTTGTGATAGCAGTCTCTCCAATTACTTATTTAGGTTGAATTAAGCTTATTTATTTTTACTTATTAAGGCTTAATTAGCAATTAAGACTGAATTAAGCTGCACGAAAACGCGTGACTCCCTGTCTATGGACAGGTGGAATTCTTAGTCCATAAACCTAAGTCAGGGTCCCTCCTCACAGACAGTCGATGCGAGTACGTATTGCGTGCACCCGACCCGCAGAGTTTGACCTGACCTCTGGTCCCAGGCGCGGTAAAGCTACAGCTGCCTGACCTCGGCGGCCGGCTCGCCGTGTCACGTGACAGACTTTGACCTGACCTCTGGTCCCAGGCGCGGTAAAGCTACAGCTGCCTGACCTCGGCGGCCGGCTCGCCGTGTCACGTGACTGACCTCGGGCTGCCGGACCTCGGCGGCCGGCTGGCCGTGTCACGTGACAGACTTTGACGTGACCTCTGGTCCCAGGCGCGGCGGAGCGGCTGCCGACGTGCCACAGCTGCCTGACCTCTGCCGCTGGCTCCGCGTGTCACATGCGACCGGTGCGCAAGCCGGAGATGACGTCCTCCTGCTCCTCGCGCACGGACCACTGCGTCACCGACCGGCTGCAGGACGCCGACGGCAGCCTCGTCTCCATCGAGCGCCGCTGCTCCACGCGCGAGGAGACCAAAATGGCGCACAACCGGTGAGCAGGCGTGGGGGTGACTCGTCTAGTGTGAAAATCTGCCAAGTTCGTGCCATGCGCAAGCTCTGGCTTGGGTGTGATGACCCGCGGCTAACCCGCTGTAATCCGTACAGAGGTGCAGTTTCCTTTTCAGTTGGGGGGAGGGGGGGGGGCTGGTTCCGAACTTTGAGAATAAAGTGGGCCCGAGCCGGGGAGAAACCTACTTGCTTGCGTATTTTTAGAGCAAGTTTCTTCACGTTTCCTAGTTTATGCCCCTCCCCACCTCATTTTGCGAGACCACGCCCCTGGGTCCGCACGTGTTTCAAACTCGGAGCCGACCCAAGGTGACCCGAATCTGACCCGACGTCGGCCGACAGGTGCGAGGAGACAGATGACGGGTACCTGCGCTGCTTCACCTTCTGTTACGGCGACTTCTGCAACCGCGGCACGGGCAGACTGTACCAGAGCACCCGCTTCTGGCATTACGACGAGCCCCAGTACTCGGATTACGTGTACGACCCGGAGGAGGCGGTGCTCGACCGCCGCCGGAAGTTGTCCACTTCCGGCGCGTTCGCGGCGAGGCCGGAGCTGGCTGGGGCGCTTGTGGGGAACGGCGGAGCCGGCAGAGCTGGCGGGGCCGCGTCGGGGCTCGTGTGCACGCTATCCGGCGTGGCTGTCGCCCTGCTCTGGGCCTGGAGGAGGGCCTGATCCCTCCCAGCACCGGGCTGGTCGTCAAGAGCCGCACCGCAAGAGTCCGTGGTGCTCATAGGGGCTGTGGAAGGAGCCCGTGGTGTTCAGAGCGGCCATGGAAGGCGCCCGCGGCACTCGCAGGGGCCGTGAAAGGAGTCCATGGTGCTCAGAGGGGCCGTCGGAGGGGTCCGCGGCGTACATAGCGAGGACAATTCAATGCGTTGGACCAGTTGAAGAGGAGCTCTCGCAGACACCTAGCACTGGCTGCGCTGCGAACAGTGCTTCGTTATGCTGCGAAGGTGGAGCGAGGCTGGTCCCAATGAAGGCTAGTTTATTGTTTTTTGTTGGCATGGCAGGTTAGTCCTGCAGTATCCTGGAACGGCGCGGCAGCCACGTCCGGTTATACGTGGTTTTCTTTAGCGTGCGTGGTTTAGCAGTGTTACGGCAAATGCAGGCCGTTTGCTGAGTAGTGACGACACATTTAGCGACCGTGTATTTGTGGATGGTTCGTGCACCATGTGGCCTGCAATAAATTGTCATGTTAGCGATATGCTTAGATGATACGGCTTGATTTTGACGTGAGAAAAAATTATGAAATATAGCACTGCTCTGTGTTATACGATTACGAGGCACGACGTGGCAAAATAATTCGAGTATCTTAGATTGTGTTGAGACCTTGCATGACCTGACATTCTGTTGCCTGTCCGTTTTCACGAGCCAAATAACGGATGTTGTTTCCGAGTAGCCAAACCAAACACCCTGCCACCACAGAGATCGCGCTCCATACCAGCTGACCTTCGGGACTTGCATCTCGTGGAACAGCACGGCTTGGCCACCTTGAATACATTGAAGCGGACAGCCCAACGTACTCCGACTTAGCTCACCCATGGTGCCATGAGTGCCATGTCAATCCCGCCATGGCCGGTTGCACACGGCCGATAGCAGTGATAAGCGAACATGAAGCATGCGTCTCGGCCGAGACGGACACTGCGGCGCCGTGTCGTGTCCATGAGATTCAGCCTCGAGGGAGCGTAATTGCGATGTAGCGCAAGCAAGCACCGACGCCGAGCCGTCCGAAGGCACGCGCCGCTGGTTCACCCAGCGGAGATGCCAGACGGCGGGACCCCACAGCCATCGCCTGCGGCACGCGTTGCGTGTTGTCGCATATTGCTGGATGTTGTCTTACGCGTTCGTGGCGCAGGCGGCACGCGTTGCTCTTCGCAGTCGTGGAGTCTCGTCATCCGTGCTCTTCTTCGAACTAAGATGGAGATTGCTCGCTGCATCTACCCCACCTTGCGGCGGTGGGAAATGCCGTCTACGTGACACGAGAACGTTGAGCATGATGAGTTCGGAACTCTTATGCTGGCAGCGTTTAGCACGTACGCTGCAGGACGGAACCATGCGTGAGCCAGCTCACATTTGTCCAACCCGACCATACCTTTCGGCCCTCTCAGGCTGTATCTAAGTAGTAAGAGTTTAGATGCTGTCATATATCTGCAGGTCCTTTCGGTCAGTCTGTCACTAAACCGTAAGAGTTAAATGCTGTCATATATTGCTGTCCTATCGGATTCTGGTCGTGTCTACAACACTAACCGCAAGGGTTTAGATGCTGTCATATATTCTGCGGGTCCTTTCGGTCAGGCCTGTCACTAAACCGTAAGAGTTTAAATGCTGTCGTATATTCTGCAGTTTGACGACCTCCACACGCCAGCGCTATACTCGTATCTTTTAGAAAACACTCATTTGATACGTGCTCCTAGCCGTGACCCTTTAAAATGTCCGATCGGTGCCTATGTGCGTACGTACTTCGTTTATATGAGACCGCCCGCCTAACGACAGTGGCACAGAGGCACAAATCACACGCACGTGCGTTGTGAACACACTTGCAGCGTGCACCGTATGCAGCTGCTTTTGTCCGGTTTTCCAGTTTCCCGTCCATCTTACCACACCACTGACACCATCACCTGCCTGTTTGAGGACCGGCAAAACCGGTTCGGGGAAATATGGATGCGAATGTGCGTAGACGCACCAAGTGCGCACCAATCGGATAGGCCATTGTCATTGTGCCTGACGCCGCCCACCCTCCCACGCACAAAAACCGGCGATGGCACCTCAATGCATGGACGACCCGGAGGTGTCCCAGTAAAAGCGACGCACGCTCCTGGCTGGCTCGCCCGGCACCGCTGGCGGGCCGGACTCAAGCTGAAGGTGAAATCGTGGGACTCAAGCGTCGGTGGCTACATTCCCGACGGCGGACGAACCCGCGTCGCCGCGCGTTTGACCTGCGCGGGCCCGTGTCGCCCCGCGTTTGACCTGCGCGACCCGTGTCGCCCGCGTTTGACCTGCGCGGGACCCGTGTCGCCGCCCGTTTGACCTGCGCGGACCCGTGCCGCTTCGCGTTTGACCTGCGCGGACCCGTGCCGCGTCGCGTTTTACCTGCGCGGACCCGTGTCGTCTCGCGTTTGACCTGCGCGGACCCGTGCCGCCGCGCGTTTTGACCTGCGCGGACCCGTGCCGTCTCGCGTTTGACCTGCGCGGACCCGTTGCCGCGTCGCGTTTTACCTGCGCGGACCCGTGTCGCCGCCCGTTTTACCTGCGCGGACCCGTGCCGCCTCGCGTTTGACCCTGCGCGGACCCGTTGTCGCCGCCAGTCTGACCTGCGCGGACCCCGTGCCGCCTCGTGTTTGACCTCGCGGACGCGTGCCCGCCTCGCGTTTGACTTGCGCTGACCCGTGCCGCCTCGTGTTGACCTGCGCAGACCCGTGGCGCCGCGCGTTTTTGACATGCGCGGACCCGTGTCGCCGCCCGTCTGACCTTGCGCGGACCCGTGCCGCCTCGTGTTTGACCTCGCGGACGCGTGCCGCCTCGCGTTTGACTTGCGCTGACCCGTGCCGCCTCGTGCTTGATCTCCGCAGATCCGTGCCGCCGTCCATTTGGTCTGCGCCGCGCCAAGTTTGCCTCACACACCTCTGAAGGACGACACGGGCGCCGACCGGCCTGGTCGGCACGCCGGAAGACTTGAGCACACAGAAGCACAGGTGGTGACGGAAGGCATCGACACCAGTTGTGGTGTCGCCGCGCTTCGAGCGCTTCGCTTCGAGTTTCTGGTGCGGAAGCGCAGTGCGCTGCTGGGGTCACACATCAGGTCAGGTCAGGTCACGGGTCGCAGGAGATCGCAATTCACCGCGGCTGGTAGCCGAGATGACGAAAGGATTGTTAGGTGCTGGGCATCGGTTTATCTCGTCCCTTGCGCTGCATATATGGATGGCCTGTAAAATGGCACTGTATATACGGATATGGTTAGTCTCGATGGATGGCCTTCCGCTGTGACTCAGCCTCGAAATCTCCTGCACTGGTCGTGTCGTAAAGCGTGCGAAACATGACGTGGAAATGACAAGTCGTAAACGATATGCTTCTAAATGTAAGTCTTGAACCCACAATCTCCTGGTCACAAGTCGCAGCATGCGAATACGACCGCACATATGGAACCCCTATGTCCCTTTGCTGACGCCCGCCTACGCACGTTGCCTGCGACTGAGGTCTAGCGCACTGGGAGCGAGCATGGAAGCCCGCGTGACCGGGGTCTGATACCAGCTCACTGGTGTGGTCACTGCCGCTGGTGCTGGTGCTGGTGCTGGTGCTGATGCTGCATCATGCTGCAGCGTGGTGACGGCCTATGTGTTCTGATCTAGGACCCGTAGGCCTAATACGGACCTATGCGGGCTATAACGGACCTACATGATCTATGTGCGGACTTATACGATACATCCAAGGACCCACCGACCTGTAAGGACATATACGACCTCCGTACGTACCTATGCGACATGCATACGGACCTATACGACCTTTACGCTCTGAATCTGAGAGATAACGGACGGAAGCGTGCCTGATCGACACGTCTACGGAGACCCACGTCTCGCCGCTACTCAGCGCGTTTCGCCGCTGTCCAGGCACGTCTCGCCGCTGCTCAGCACGTCTCACCGCTGCCCAGCACGTCTCGCCGCTGATCAGCACGTCTCGCCGCTGCCCAGCACGTCTCGCCGCTGCCCAGCACGTCTCGCCGCTGCCCAGCACGTTTCGCCGCTGTCCAGCACGTCTCGCCGCTGCTCAGCACGTCTCACCGCTGCCCAGCACGTCTCGCCGCTGCCCAGCACGTCTCGCCGCTGCCCAGCACGGCCGGGGCGTCATCCCACGAGACGGCGGGGTATTGGCTATCAGCGCACAGCGGTCACTTTTACTTTCGACCTCGTTCCACTGCGGCCCCCAACCGGCCCCAGCGTCACGTGAAAGCGGCCCCGGCGCTGTCAAGAGGTGCCCACACACACGCGCTAACCCCAATGGCCCCAGTGCGTTCCGAACATGGCACAGTGCAATGCCAACACGCTGATATACAACAGTAGCCGGCCTTCAGGCTGCGGTGTGGCCTGGAGGCGGGTGTCACGGACGACACTCGGTCCCGAAATAACCCAGACGTGCCACGGCCTGCGCCCAACGCAGGTCACTGCCGTGGCTAGCACACATCTCGAACGTGTAAACATGGCCATGCCTCTAAGGGTGACCCAGCACCCACAGTGGGGTTTGGTGGTTGGTCAGTGACGCGTTTGTTCGCCGTGCAGAACTCGGACGGAACAGCAAAGCTCGGACGAACTTGGACGGAACGGAACTCGCAATGAATAGAGCGGCAGTATTTCGCGCGGATTGCGGCGGCGGCGGGAGAGGGAGAGCGAGGACAAACTCGAGGCCACCATGAAGCCCGGTTTGTACTCAGGTATAGGCGCAAGGTCACCGGCGGACACTCTGGTCAACGCGCTGCGTCGTCCCCCCCCCCCCACCCTTTACGAGCATCGGGGATTCGGAGCACAAAAGCCGTCGCAGAAAAACTGGCAGCGATGTAGAAGCAACGTGGTTGGCAAGCCACCAGTGACGTCAACATGGTGAGGTACGAAACCTCGGATTTTATGATGCATGCTGCGAGGAGATTGCTTGCAGCGCTGTGTTAAATTATGGATGACCAAAATTATGGAATAATTTTGAATGATTAATTACCTTGGGAAGTTTCGCCGAACTGCCCATTCCTCGACAGAGGGAGATGCCCTCCCCCCGTCCCCTCCATCCCTCGCCCTGCCAATTCCACATGACTTACGTTGGGAGGAGAATTGAAAGTCAGTGATGTCATTGCACCCGATGCACAATCGACCCACGTCCGTCAAGTTGGCACCACATTCACATTCAGATTCAGGTCCATGTTCGGGATTCAGCGGACTCATCAAATTGCCCTGAAGCTTTGCACACAGATGCAGTTTAATCTCCTGAACACAATGAGCACAAAATCTCGGACCGGTACACCCTATTACCGGAGATATATCAATATCAAAGATCACAATAAAAAAGGCGGACTCCTTCAATTATTTCTGAACTCCGCGTGCTGGGAGATATTGACCCCCTGATAACGATGAACACAAAATATTAGACCGGTACGCTGCATCAAAAAAGTAATAGCTGTTATAATGTCAAGGTCGTGAATGCAGAGCCCGCTGAATATGGAATATGAAAATTAGTCAAGGATGAAGAAAATGTGATCCATGCCTCATATACGCCATACTCAAGCAGCTTCGGCATTTGAAAAGCTGTAACTTTTTTGATGCAGTGTACCGGGTCCGAAAAATTGTGTGGTTATTCGTAATCAGAGGGCAAATAGACCAACAACGGATTTCGGAAAGGATTGAAGCAGTCCGCATTTTTTATTGTGACTTTTATATTATGATATCTCCGTAATAGGGCGATAATAATATCTCGGTAATAGTACCGGTCCGAGATTATGTGCTCACTGTGCTCAGGGAGATCCAATGCATCTGTGTGCAAAGTTTCAGGCCAATTTGAGGAGGTCCGCTGGAATTTCGACACGAAACTGAGTTAAGCGTGATAATATGCAATACACGTTGCATTCGCGACCTTGACGTTATAACAGCTATTACTTTTTGATACAGCGTACCGGTCCAATATTTTGTATTTCTCGTTATCAGGAGGTCAATTTCTACTAGCACGCGGAGTTTAGAAATAATTGAAGGAGTCTGCCTCTTTTATGGTGATCTTTGATATTGATCTATCTCCGGTATATGCGTACCGGTCCGAGATTTTGTGTTCATTGTGTTCAGGAGGTTGTTAAACTGCATCTGAGTGCAAGTTTCAGGGCGATTGAGTGTCCGCTGAATCCCGAATATGGACCTGAATCTGAATGTGAATGTGGTGTTGCTAACTTGACGGACGTAATCGACCCCTTGCGTCATTTTCGGTGCCGCGCGCAGCGGACTGCCAGATTGGGTGGAGACGAAGCCAAACACGTCTGTGACGTCTATGGCTTTTTAAACCACAAATCTCAACCGAAGTTTTCGCGTGATGGTTTTTGGGATGGGGACGGGCATGCTGCGCATACTTTGTTGTCAAGATCTCATCTCTGCAGTGGAGTAATCCCTGGTCCGATAGCGCTATAAAGCAATGATTTGATGTGCTGCGTTTTTCCATGACACGTCCGCTCCATGGGTGAAGTTTTCCTTTCATCTCGTAGCTTCAGCTTCCCCCCCCCCCCCCCCCCCCACCTTCCACCCCACCGCTCTCACACTGCAGCAGAAAGTAAGTCAAGTCCGAGGTTATCCCGTTTTTGACGTGTTTTCAGGTACGTTTAGCCATTTTCGAAGCTCAGCAACTGCAAATTACTTCGAAAACTACACCCTCGGTCTGATTCGCGCCAATCCCACTCTCCTGGTCGGTTTGCCAAATGGTCTGCAGTTGAGGAATCATTCGAGCGCAGTTTCTGTGGTGGAAACTCCACGCCTGGCCATACGTGGCTGGGAATTTGTTACCAGGATTTTTGATGCAGGGACCAGTCTGCCAGAATCCCCTCCAGAGGCACAGAGGCACTGCTCATAATGCATTAACTGCAAGTGGAGGAAAACATTCGTCTGGAAAACCAAGGGTATGTTGATGTTTTTTGGAAGCATGTCAATTTTCCCTAGCTCATAACTGTTGCAGAACCATGGAAGCATGTCTCAAATTTTATGATATATGAACATTTTTAACATGAATCAATAAAGCGCCAAGCATTAGGCAGCATGCCGATCAGACATGGCTGCAATCGGCGCACTCCAAAACGTCGGCATCAGATTTGTCGCTGGCTCCAAAAACAAGCCTGAATGGTGCACAGGACCCGGCTCCTGCTATACGAGGTCGGCGAAAATGCGAGATTACTCTTGCATCAGGTACATGTCCGGTCTCGCTAACAAGGTGGGGCATAAGCATACCGGTTACAGCTGAGCCCAAAACA